AGGTAAAGCTGGTTAGGACTGTTAGCATCTCGGAGAGCAAAATCGCCAGTTTCTAGAATATAAAAGGCACTTAGTAAATACACATTAAACTGTGTTACAGCCTCTCTACCACCAACTTGAGGTATAGTCTGTTGTTACTTATGCAGCAAGAGTTTACTGGAAAATTATGGATGTTATGCTTAACAAACCATTTTTTTCCATAGCTATGATGAATGAATAGTCTGGTTTCAGATGTGTGACAATCGGCACAAAAAACAGGGAATAGCAAGTCACGATCCAAGGAGAGAGTTATTTCAAGTGCCATTATATCAAGGAGAGAGTTATTTCAAAACTGCTCCAATGCTATTTTTAGGAAAAAAAAGCCCCAAAAACCACAACTTAGAGAAATTACTGAAAGCAGCATTTTTTTGAAACAGTGACTTCAGTATTTTTCTTGCTGCACTTGCAATGTTACTTTAGTCGCTCCTCTAACAGAAGGGTGCTAAAATGATTTATGGCTCTGCAAAATTAGAGCTCTCCAATTACTCACTAGTAGAATTACAATGGTGTAAAATCAAGTGTCAAGGTTTTTTTTTACTAGCCATAAACACCTGCAGTAAAAGGATTTTTAAATTAGGTTTTGCTGGAAAATCATCTCAGGATAGACAATTCTGAAGGATATCCTTATTGAGTTAACTATTCTTTTTCACATTGGCTATTGGATTTTAGATATTTAATTTACAAGAAAAGACTTACGAATCTAGGTGGTTGCTTGCAGTTTCGAGGTTCAATTTCTAGTGACTTGTTGAACAAATAATCTGTAAACTCTTTTTCTGGTATCTTCCCCATAGGATTGAGATTTTCAAAGAATTTCTAAAATGACAGAAGCATCAAGGGTTTTTTCAAATAAGAATAACATACATTTTTGATTGTTTTTTTTTTTGTTCTTTTTAATCACATGCTTATAACTCACTGAATAAAAATAGCTATTTCTGAAACTCTTTTTTTTTCTGCCCCAAATAAAACCAAAACAACATGATACAACAAATAACCAAATTCAGGATAATTTTTCCTGGTTTGAAAGCAAGACCTCAGCTAACGAGCCATGTAAAACAAGTCACACTGTTTTCTACCTGTTTTTCTTCCAGCACAAGCACATTTCCTACCAGTTTTCCTTCCAGCACGAGCACTGCCCATCCCTTGAACTTACTG